TGTAGGAGAGGTTGACATATCATGTGAGTCACTTGTTATCAAAGGAGGTCCTGGATTCCATATCTGAGTGTCGCCTCATGAAAGTTAATTTTCCAATGTTAATATCTTCTCTTGGAGAAGTTAGGGTTTACCTTAAATTAAGAAGGTTCCTAAGGGGATTGTAACCGTGGCAATGAAACGATATATGAGAGAATGATGTAAAACTAATGTTATCCCATGTAAACTATCACATAATTCACAATAAAACTTTTTTTTTTTAAAAAGGTTCCTAGCAGGACTGAGTACTTCTCCTCCCTTCTGTGTCCTCTATAGTGTTAGAGCATAATTCATTCAATAACTAGAGTAATAATAGCTGACAAGAATAGGACACTTATATCATGCTGAGCATTTATGTGTATTATCTCATTTAATTTATATATAAATCAGTGGGATTGAGACTCTGATTTTTGTCATTGTTCAGATAAAAATGCAGGGACCATTTCACCTGGTCATACAGTTTGTGAGTGATAGAGAAGTTGGATTATTTATAACCTCTTAGCTAGCTTTAGAAGGTAGAGAATTCTCTAAATATTTCTGTTTAAATTTCTGCTTTTCTATTTAGAGTACTTATGATGCGACACTCACCTTCCACACAATTGGTGGAGAAGAAGCAGATGTTTCGGGTTTCCAGGGGGTTCTCATGGGTGAACTCAGGGGAGCGACTTTGGGGTTCTGACTCTCCAGTCAAGGAAGAGTTGTCCACCTGGGATGGGAAGGAAGATGGTTCACAAGGTGAGCATGGGGGGAAAAAAAGGCAGATAAGTTTATAAGGATGACACATCTTTGTCTGCTACCGCCAACATTATTTTGACGTACACAAAAAAACTGGTCAACTCACCAACAACTTATTTTGTCTAATCTCAAATCTGCACTTGTAATTTCTCAAGGCTCTGAATGGTCAGATCGTGCTTTCTTTATTTCACTGAGCCCAGGTTCCTATAGTGCCCTAAGACCATCTCTGGCTCCTTCCCACAGATAGCCACATCCCCTCACCTTACATCCTTGTGAAGAGATAATTCGAATGTCAGCTGGGATCCGGTCTCCACCTTTCACTTCTACCAGGTCTCCCCGTACCACGCCTTCTACATTGATCTGCATCTTCTCTCCGCCTCGAATGACCAGGGCTTGCTATGGGAAAATAGTGCAGAGTTATTTCTAAATAACTCTTTCTGCATCTTTCATCCTGCTCTTAGCCTACAACTTCCTGTTCCTAGTCTCTTTCCTTTCTGCTGACTCCCCTTTTCTTTTTAAAGCTATTTATTATGAATTGAGTGAAGGTTTACAGAGCAGACCACCAGTTTTACATTCTGCAAATCATACACTTCATTTCATCTCAATGCTGGCGATCCCTTCCATGTAACATCACTTATTTCATGTTCTCCCTGGATTTCTTGTTTCCATTCCTCCTCCCTTCCCAATCCTTTAGAACTTTGTTCTTAGATAAATGCTGTCCTTTTGGTCTTGAATGGTTGACCATTATATGGGGTACAAACCTCACTAGTATTGCTGTCCCTGTTATGTTCTTGTTGTTGTTATGTGCCGTGGAGTCAGTTCTGACTCATAGCGACCCTGTACAGGGTTTCTGGTGTTGTAAATCTTTATGGGAGCATAAAGCCTCATCTTTCCCCCGCAGAGCAGCTGGTAGTTTCCAACTGCTGACCCTGAAGATAGCAGCCTGATTCGTAACCACTACACTACCGGAGTCCCTGCTGTATATCTATCTTATTGCTTGACTGAAAATTGAGCCACAAGGGTGAGTTCAGTTCCAGACCTGAAAAGTATGTTCAAGGACTATAGTCTCAGGGTTTCAATAGTCTCTGCTTGACCAGTAAACCTATTTTTTTAAAAAAATGATTTTCCTGACTCCCTTTTCTTACTGTCACCCTTGAAGGTCTCTTTGATAGATTGTAAATTCCTGCCATCGTTGTTTTTAGGATCTTTTGCAGTGTGACTTTGGAATCTATCTCTTCACCCCTTGGATCTGGGCTTGGCCATATGACTTGCCCATGGAGTATTGGTAAATGAGATGCAGTAGAACATCAGGGTTTGCCCTTTTGTTTCTGGGAAACCTTCTGCCCCCATATGAACAAGCCTGAGTTAGTCTCCAAGAGGAAGAACAACCATAAGGAGAAAAGCCCCAGATATCCTAGAAAAGCCCCAAACACAAGATTAAAGTAGTTTTGGACATCCAGTCTTAGCTGACACCAGCCCAGATCAAAAGAATAGCCCAGGCAAACTACAGAGTTGTGAGAAATAATACATTTGTTGTTTTTAAGCCTCTAAGTTTCAAAATTGTTGGTTAGGCAGCAAAAATGAACTGATATAGTACCCAAACTCTTAGTTGTTCTACTAAAACAGTTTCCCTTGAACTATTACCCAAGTTAAAAATTGAGTCATGTCCATAATCCACAAAGACAATGTTCTACACCAAAGTAAGGTGAGTAGTGACTGGGACCATACAAGCTCAGGAGCAGCCATCTAAGGTGCACCCTTTGGTTTCTCCCTGTCCAGAGGAAAGAAGAGTGATGACAATTGAAGACACTTGGAAACAATTTGTCTAATGGACTACGTGATCATCAATCTCCATAATACTGAGACCTGATGAACTAACTACCACTACCAACTTCTCTGAAAAGATCACATTAAAGGTCTTGCATAGAATGGGAGAAAATATGGAACAAGATTCAAAATCATTTAAAAAAAGACCAGGCATATTGTTCAGATAGAGGCTGTTGGAACCCTGAGACTATGGCCCTTGGTCACCCTTCAGGTCTGGAAGTGAATTCACCGTCATTGGTCAATTTTAGCCAAGCAATAGATACATATATAGTGGGGACAATAACACAGTGAGGTATGAACATCATGGAATGGTCAACATGAGATTTAAAGGGCAGAATTTACCCAAAGACAAAATTCAGAAGGATAGGGAAAGGAGGAGGAATGGAATCAAGAAACACAAAGAGGAAGTGGATACGTGACGCTACACTGAGGGGGCTGCAATCATTGAGATGAAATAAAGACTCATCGAATGTAAAACTGATGATCTGCTCTGCAAACCTTCACTCAGAAACAACAAAATGTTTTTAAAACTTAGGTTATATCAACACTAAAGGAAGAAGAAAACCTGAGGCTATAATGTTAGAATATGATTATATTAAGAAATTATGACACTTGTTCCTTTCCAATTTGTTAGCCAAGTGTCTAGGAAATCCTGTCTACTAACATATCATTTCCAGGTACTAAAAAATTCATTTGAAAATAACTTTAAGGCTCATAAAAGTTACAAGTACCAAGAATATTTGTATGACCTTTGCCAGATTCACCTACTAACATTTTATTCCATTTGCTTTTTCATTTGCTCTCTTCCTCTCAAACACACACAAACTCATACACACTGTGTATGTTTTGTTTTCTGAACCATTTGAGGGCAAGTTTCATGTATCATATATGTAACTGACATACATTTCTCAAGAAATAGGATATTCTCTTATATAACCACAATATAAAGTTTTACTTTGGTAGATTTCGCAATACTTTTGTCTGATCTACTGTCTGGATTCTAGTTTTGTCAGCTAACTCAATAATCTCCTTTAGATTTTTTTTCTCTTCCAGCACAGGATTCCATCTAAAGCTAAATATTCTTATGCTTCTTTAGTCTTCTTTAACATTTACACAGTTGTTGGCTTTTATGTCATTGACATTTTATGGAATCCAGTCCCCCAACTCCCTTGCCCCACTTTTTGGGGGACATCTTATTGTGGTTTGGGTGAAAGTTTACAGAGCAAATTAGGTTTTCATTCAACGATTCATATACATTTTCTTTTGTGACTTTAGTTGCAATTCCTGCAGTGTAACAGCTCTCTTTCCATCTCCTTCCTGGGGTCCCCATCTCCATTTACCCATCTTTCCTGCCCCTTCCAGCCTCTGAGCTTTGTTTCTAGTCAATTACAGCCCTTTTGGTTTTGTATGGTTCATTGTTCTGAGGAGCACTGTTCCTCACCAGTGTTAGTGTTTACTTTATAGGCCTATTGGTGATCTCCCGGGTGGATTCAGTTCCAGCCTTGAAGGGTCTCAGAACCTACTGTGTTCCTTTATTATTATTATTTTTAATATACAATGTTCTCATTTGGGGTTTGTACAATATTTCCTTATGGTTAGATTCAAATTATGTTTAGTTGGTCTGGCTACTTCCTAAGTAATACTGTGTCCTTCTCAGAGTATCAGATTTTCCCCCACATACTTTGAGGCCACTAATAGAAAAACCTAAGTGAACTTCACCTGCCATTACCAGTTTTATTGAGCTCACTCATGGTAAGATATAATTCTCCAGAGGATGTCCACCATAGTCTACATCTTATCATAGTCTACATTTCCTTTCCCTAGATCCTCCCACACCATTCCTACCTGTGGCACCATATTCTTAAAAGACTCCATGATCTTGGAGCTCTTTGCCTCCTGATAGTAGGAGAAGCAGCCAGTGATGATGACCACGATGCTTAGGACCAGGCCCAGGTACAGCTGGGGGTGGGGATAGAAAGGACTTATCAGTAGGCTCTTTTCTTCCTCTCTATCCTCAGAAAATCAACTTGCAAGGACAATAATCACTTCTCTAAACAGAAGAAACCATAGGACTCAGTTGGAGAAAGAGCCTAAGCTGGGGCTGGTAGAATCAGCTTCATGAGGAAGGAACCCTGAGTTATGGTAAGGGATTAGCAAAATCTCAGATTTGAGAAGGACTGTATCTTCCTCTCCTGGACAGATATTCCTGGAAGGGAAGGGAAGAGGGACATGGTAAGGGAAATGGGAGGGAGGAGACAGAGAGGTTAAAATTCTAAGGATGTGAGAGAAGGACTACAAAGTGGTTTGATGATCAGTTGAGAAGATAATCAATAGGGAGCACGTGTCTGGGGGTGAGGGGGAGGGTGGAACATGCATCCTGTGGTGTTGAACCAGTAATTTTCTTGATAAAAAGTTAGGGAAACCAAGATGGAACAGGGGCTCCCTTAGAAGCTTGAGAATTCTTAAGGATTTGAGCTAGAAGATTTCAGGAGAGCTAGGGTGCTGAGCAGATGAGAACCATCAGCTAGGGTTGGGCAGGGCAGTGGTAGTTCAACAGACTCACATTATCATTGGTAAACCCTTCATGGAAATAGAACTGGATGCCAAAGGCCACAAAGCAAAGAATGGAACCAATCCACAGTAGGATGGAGAAGCCACCAAACAGTTGTTTACAGAATTTGACCCACTCCGGAGTGGTGGGAGGTGGAGTAAGTGTATTAGGTCCCTCTCGTGCTAGGATTTCCCGTGCCTTTTCAGGTGTAAGGCCCTGTGTGGAAGAGAATTAGAGATGGGTAGAGAGCTGTGAACAGAGAAGCAGTTTTAACAAAGGGGACTCAAGAGTCAATTCCAGGTCTGTCATTTATAGATCAAAGACACTCTCTGAAGCTCTGGGAACCCTTCTTAGCTAGGGTGGGTTTCTAAAGTTTATAGAATGATATTATAAAAGGGATATCACTTAAAGCACTCATATAAGAAGGATCTCTCATTTATAGATTAATTCATAAATGGTTTTGAATACCTCTCTTGGGCCTGACAGGTTCTGAGGGTACCCAAATGGATAAGAGTGGTCTCTGTCCTTTATAGAGTACTGATGCGGTGCTGTAGGATAAGCACTAGATTACTAGCCACAAAGTCAGCAGGTCAAACCCACCAGCTGTTCCTTGAAAGCCCTATGCAGGGTCACGATGAGTTGGAATTGATGTGATGGCACACAACAGCAAGAGCTATCTTTTGTTGTTGGGTGCCATAGAGTCAGTTCTATCTCATGGTGACCTCATGTGTAGAACTGCTCCATAGATTTTTCTTGGCTATAACCGTAAAAGAACTAAAATTGCTAATAGAAGCAGATCACCAGGCCTTTTCTTCTGTGGTACTTCTAGGTGGGTTCAAATTAATAATCGGTACAGTTTGTGCTTAGCTACTAACCACCTGAATGTTGGTGGTTGGAAGAAAGTCCTGGCACTCAGTTCTATTAAAGATTGTTGTTGTTGTTATGTGCCGTGGAGTCGGTTCCGACTCACAGCGACCCTGTACAGGGTTTCCAAGGCTGTAAACCTTTATGGGAACAGAACGTTTCATCTTTCTCCCAAGAAAACCCTATGGAGTGCAGTTCTTGGAGCATAATTCTGCTCTAGAGTATATGGGGATGGCATGAGTTGAAATAAACTTGATGGCAACAGTCTCTACCCTTAGGAAACTCAAAATCTAATGAGGAGATAAATGTATACAAATAATTATAGCGCACAATGGCAAAATCATGGTCAAATATTATGTTTAATGTTGATAACATCTGGATATTAAATTTTAATTCTCTTTTTTATTTTCAAGTAATAAAACCATCCACTTAAGACTGAATGCAGATTCTCACTGTAGTCTTGCATTACTTTCCTACATGAAAATCATGGTAGAATCTACCAGAGTATAGTAAAACAAACTTGGTCTCTATCAGCCACCCCAGCCACTAATAAAACCAAACCCAAACAAAACAAAACCCACTGCCAACGAGTCAATTCTGACACATTGTTGGTGTTGTTAAGTACTGTGGAGTCGGTTCCGACTCATAGTGACCCTGAACAGGGTTTTGGTTTCTGAGGCTGTAAATCTTTACGGGAGCAGAAAGCCTCATCTTTCTCCCATGGAACAGCTGGTAGTTTTGAACTGCTGACCTTGCGGCTCGCAGCCCGATTCGTAACCACTATGCTACCAGAGCTCCTGAATTCTGACTCATAGCGATGCTATATGTAGGATTTCCGAGGCTGTAAATCATTGTGGGAGCAGGTAGTCTCATCTTTCTCCTGTGGAGCAGCTGTTGGATTGAAACTTCTGACCCTGTGATTAACAGTCTAACCCATAACCCACTATGCCCAGGTCTCTACACATACTAATAAGCATACAATTTTAATAAAAGCATGACAAGACCCCCTAAGCTCCTCTCAGTTTACAGTCAGATGGCCACTGTAAACCTCTCCAATGCAGAACTTTGACAGCTAAGAGGAGTTATAATTGTGAGGCTGGTGCAGGATGGGCTAGTGTTTCATTTTATTGTCTATAGGGTCGCTATGAGTCCAAGGCACCTAACAACAAAAGGAATTCATATTTTGAAGGCTTTGATTTAAGTTTGTCATTTCCGCTCATTGTAGTAGTGGTAATACTAGCAAAAAACAATAGTAGTAACAGTGATGAGGGTTGACCATTAAACCATTGGTTCTCAAAGTGTGGTTTGGGGAGCTCTGGGGTTTCCAGATTCTTCAGGGGACCATAATAAGGTTAAACAATTTTCATAATAATACTATATCATTATTTGCCTTTTCACTGCCATTTTCTTAAGAATATACAGTGGTATTTTTCAAAGAATATATAACACATGAGATTGCAACTGATGCAGAGGAAAGAAAAATTCAGCTATCTTCTATTAAAAAGTTTGACACTGAGGAGTTTTCATGGCACTAAATATATTTTGCTTTGAAAAATATAGTTGTCATAAAACATTACTTTTGTTGACTATAATTGATTTACTATTATTTAAAATCTATTTTAAATTTCGCCACTTTAATTTCTAATGTGGTAAGTATAGGTGTGGCACATTGGACCACAAGGTTGGTTTGAACTGCAAGGTTGGTGGTTCAAATCCCCCAGTTGCTCCTCGGAAACACTGAACAGGACCACTATGGGTCAGAACCCACTTGGCAGCACTTAATAATAACAAAAAGAAGTATATGTAGATGTAATCCACATAAGCAAAGTTCTTGGGTGGCCTTGATAATTTATAAGCATGTAAAGGGGTCCTGAGTACAAAAACTTTGAGAATCACTTTGCTAAACCATTTTTATTGTCTTAGCTAGTCCTGAAAACTTTGGGTAGAAATAGCACTTTTTTCCAGGCATATGTCCTATGGAAACTTGGCCCTGGGAGGTTAAGAGGCAAGAACACGACACTTAAAGTGAAGGGACTTGGTTTTCAGCTCCCTGTTGGTCCCGGTAGCCTCAGCATCATAGAAGGGCACCCTTTACCTCCCTCATGGAGTTCCTTCACACACCTTTGTCAAGTCCACCGAATACTTGGCGCTCAGCTGTTCCAAGGTCAGTTTGTGATCCTCCTGAGGAGATAGTCATTGAGGGAAAGAGGTGAAGCCAGGTCATTTTCAGGGACAGGGGGAGAAGCATACAGAGAAAGAAGAATGACTCCAGTCTGTGTGATTAATTCTCAAGGTCAGATTGAAAAGGTTGAGGGAAAGAGTTCTTAGAAGGCAATTTGTCAGCATCCATCTTGGGTGTCCTCACCATGACCATTTCTTTCTTCAGGTCCTCCATATCTCTGTTCTCTTTTCTTCTCGTCATCTTTGTTTTAGGTCCCTAATTAGATCTTGGGCTTATATTCCACTCACGAGAAGTCCCTGCCCCTTGTTTTTGTTTCCCAGATCTCATAAATTTCTATGACTATAGTTGACTCAGTTCAGCTGGTGGGAGGGAAGCAGAGAGAGTGAGGGAAATGAGGGGAAAGTAAGGGAGTGGAAGGTGGGGAGCAAGAAAAGGTGAAATGATGGCATGGAGTAAGGAGAGGAGGGAAATGAGACCGTTGTAACAACAAAGTAGTAGGAAGAGGGGGCAGAAAGAGAGTGGTTGAGATGTGAAAAGGGGGTGAAGGAGGAGAGGACTGAGAGTGAAAACAGAAAGAGGAGTCTAAAGGCTAGAGGTGAGAGACAAGTGAGAAAAAGAGTGGGGAAAGTCAAGTATGGTGAAGCACTAAAAGATGTGAGGAGGAAGTGTCTGGAACGAGGGTGTGTAGAGATGAGAATATGGTGAGGTAATGAGAGAGGGAAAGAGAAGGTGAGAGAGTAACCTGAGGAAATGAAGAGTGAGAGCCTCTAGAAACTAGAGGTGAGGTTAACTAGGTGCCTAAGATGCCATGGGTACTCAACAGATGGGAAGTGCAGTAAGAGTTAGCTTCAGGGCATGCTGGGATTCCACCTCCCCCACATCCTAGGTCCTGTGGGTGTCATGACAACCGGCCCAGGTCTGTCAGTCATCACAAAGGCCTCATGGCAATTCTAACAGAAAACTCTGATGTCTCATTCTTTGGGTTTGAGGATGACTGGTGAGGATTCTGCTCAGAGATTTTCAGTCTCAGAGCAAAACTGGAACCAAGTCCCAACTTATTTCTAACGATTTCTGAGGCTTAGAGTTACCAGATAGCTGACTCACCAAGTAGGTACTTCTTGTGTGAGCAGGTTTTTAATGAGGCACACTTCTTCACTAGCATTGAGTTTTATCTTTTAATTTTAAGAGATTATATAGCAGAAGGGTCAGATCTTGGACTTTGGGATCAGTCCTGGGTTTGAATGCTAATTCCTCTGCTTACTAGCTATATGTAGCTTTAAGCAAGTTCCCCAGCCTCTCTGTACTTGTCTTAGTCTTTCAAGGGGTCTAGCATTTCAAATGGTGATGAAAGTGAGGATTAAAATGAATGCTCCATATAGCAGGTAAAATGACAATGAGTAGCTGGGTCTGGGGTCTTAGGACCTAGTCTCATAATGCCATGGTTTATTGGCATAACACAGTCCACAAAGACAATGTTCTACATCCTATTTCATGAGTAGTGTCTGAGATATTAAAAGCTCATGAGTGACCATCTAAGGTATAGCTATTGGTCTTTCCATATGCAGAAGAGAGAAGAGAGATGAGAAATGAAGATGCTTGGAATCAATTAGTCTGATGGCCTAATGGAACATGTGAACATCAGTCTCCATGACTCTGAGACCAGAAGAACTAGATGATGTCCAGCTACCTATCACTACCAACTGCTCTGAAAGGGATCACATTAGAGGGTCCCGAGGAAAATGGCAGAATATGTAGAACAAAACTCATTTTTATTTTTTTTTAAAAAGACCAGGCTTACTAGTCAAAAAGCTCTTAGAGGGACCTGAGTTTATGGCCCTCAACCACTCTTCAGGTCTGGAGAGGAATGCACCCTCTTTCAGTGAAGCAGTAAATAGGTATATAGGGAACAACAGCCCTAGTAAGGTAAACTCACTATAAATGATGAAACAGTCAATCATTCAAAATCAAAGGGGCAACACGTACCTAAGGACAAAGTTGAGAAGGGCTGGGAAGGTGGGTGGACTGGAGGTAGGAACTACAGGGAGGAAGCAGGATCCATATTATTCCATGGAGGTCATTGTAATCATTGAGAAGAAACAAAGCATGCTATTTGTTCAATGCAAAACTGATGATCTTGTCTGTAAACCTTCACTCACTGCACAATAAGAAGTTTATAAACAGAAAAACAAACAAAATGAAAGTTCCATGCAAACCACCATGTCTGACATACAGCGTATAGGTTCTATAAACAGCTTGAATCAAGTGCAGTTGATTTTGTTTGCAGGAGGCCCTGGTGATGCAGTGCTCAAGTGCTTGACTGCTAACTGAAAGTTTGGTAGTTCGAATCCTCAGCTGCTCCCCGGGAGAAAGATGTGGCAGTCTGCTTCTGTGGCGCTAGTTCTACTCTGTTCTACAGAGTTGTTATGAGTCGGAATCAAGTAGACGGCAACAGGTTTAGATTTTTGGTAGTTCTGAAAATAATGCCATCTTAAAGTTGTCTCTACTAAATGTACAAGCTCTACTTATGAGAGTGAAAATTATGTTTTTCCATGTGATAGCACTAAATGCCTTCATTTTAGAAGGATAAGTGTATCTCTCACTTTCAGTGACATGTTTGTAAGCTGCCTGACTGTATTAACTTTGTAAGCTTTGTGTGTATTGTAATTTATAATCCACCTCCTACTAAAGAACAGTTACACATTTCTATCATTTCTAAAATTTAAAAATAATACTTGTTGCATACAGTTCCCTATTATTTTGATATTTATTTAATTGCATTTTGGCTGTACTTGCTTTTCAGAAAAATATGTGTATATCTGTAAATGTCCATCTCGGTGATACTGCAAGGCCTCCTTCAATATTTAGAAATAGAGATAGTTCCCTTCCCAACTAGGATAAACTGTTGTCTCTTTCTGTAAGGAGCCCTGATGACCCAATGGTTAGCTGGCCCAGTGCTCCGCTGATAACCGAAAGGTTGGCGTTTGGAATCTACCAGCTGCTCCTCCGAAGAAAAGACCTGTTGATCTGCTTCCTTAAAGATTGTTGTTGGTTTTAAAAGACGTCCAGTTCTGACCCATAGCGACCCTGAATAGGGTTTCCAATGACCTTGAACTGCTGGCCTTGCTGTTCAAACCAACTTTGTAGTCCATCACATTAACCCACAGTACCACACCAGGATGCCTAGAAAATCCTATGGGGCAGTTCTACTTTGTCACATGGGGTCACGGTGAGCTGGAATCCATTCAACAGCTCATAACAATATTTCTTTAATAGATTGAATTTTTGCTCCCTAGTATAAGGAGCTCTGGTAGCATAGTGGTTACGAATCGGGCTGCGAACCTTAAGGTCAGCGGTTCGAAACTACCAGCCGCTCTGTGGGAGAAAGATGAGGCTTTCTACTCCCGTAAAGATTTACACCCTCTGAAACCCTGTACAGGGTCGCTATGGGTCGGAACCGACTCGACGGCACTTAACAACAACAACAGTATAAGTGTATAAAACAAGAACAAATAGATGTCTAAAAGGAGAGATCTTAAATTTTGTAACAGAACCAAACTTATTCATCCATTTATCAACATGTCATGTACATAATGTCTGTATGCATTCCATCTCCTGACCATGGTCTACTCAATCATCCCTACAATTGATGGTTTATAGGATCTTTTCTATTTATTTTTTAACCATTAAAAGCGTTGCTGCAGTGACGTCCTTTCATATTAGCATCTTTGGGTCCCTGTGCTTCTATTTTTGTAGAATCAATTCCTTTTGCTGAGTCATAGGGTACACTGATTTAAAATTAATTTTAAAAGGTTCTCTTAGATTGCGTTTCAAAAGGGCTCTACCTATCCATCTACCAGCCACAGGATGCAAGCCAGCCATTCTCTACACGTTTGACACCAGATGACTTTGATAGGTTATATTTTTGCCATCATGATAGGAGAAATTTTGAATCATGTAGTTTTAATTTGTATGTGTTATTGAGGTGAGCATTTATCTTATTTGATTTCTAGATTTCTGTTTGTGTGTGTGAATTGCCTGTTCTTCCCATTAGTCCAATTTTCTGTTGTTTTCTTATTCTTACTGATTTGTAGGAGCCCCTTGTCATATGCATTACAAATATGTCTCCCACCCAGTCTTTGTGTTTAATGTAGATCATAAAATACTTATGTGGAAGGTTAGGATTAAGCTGAACTCTTCCAATTTCATCTTTGTACCATCTATGGGTCGGTCACTTAACTCAGCCTGAAAAGCAAATTTATTGAGATGTAATCAACTGAATTTAATTTCTGGAACCCCATTCTATCCCACAGGACTTAGCTCAAAAGTCCACCTTTTCAGAGAGACCTCACTGCCAAATTCAAGGCAGCTCCTCCCCCCTCCCCCCTTCAGTCTCCCCTATGACATCACTTACCTTCAGGGCATTTATCATCCTCTGAGATGATCCTGCCCATTTCTGTGCTGATTTGTTAATGTTTATTTCTCTCTGAGGTTAGGGACCTTGTTATCTTATTCATTGCTGTATACCAGTGCTTTGAATACTGTCTCACCTAAAGCAGGTGGTCCACAAACAGTTCATGAATACATGTTGAATGAATCATGAATTTTCAGGTTTTGTTTCAATGTTATAAGATTTTGGTAATCATCCCTTTCATCAGATGTGTTTTTAAATCTTGTAGTGCTGAAAGTAGGTATTTGGAAATATTGATGCTATCTGCTCTGTACTATAGTGTTTTTTTCTTGTTGTTTAGTGCTGTCACGTCCTTTTGACTCATAGCCACCCTGTGTAGGGTTTTTGAATAGTGGCTGGTGAGCTTGAACCGCTGACCTTGAGGTTCAAATGACATTGCAGTCCAGCGCATTAACCCATAGCACCACAGCAAGCTTTGGGAGAATATAAAACCTATGGTCATTTTGATAAAATGAAAAAAAATGTTAAGGTTTCATGACAGCTCTCTATCCATTTACTTCACATTTTTAAGAAACATATTCTTGCCTGAAAAATCTTGCAGCTGTATGTTACAACAAACATGCCATATTTTATAGGAAAAAATATATAGTGAGGATTTTAAGTGATATGAGATTGAATTTTGGGGGAGAGGCAGATGGGTGGGTAGGAGTATGGAATGAGCGTTAGAGTTGGAACTATGGCTAGGTCTTAGCTAAGCCTAAAACTTTGTTTATTAGGGTTAGGAGTAAAGCTTGGTCTAGTTTTTAGGGTTACACTTAGGTTTATCTAT